TTTGAGAAAAATGGCATATTTTATTGTGTAAATGACTGATGACAAGTCTTCCCAATTTAAAACACGATTTTCATAGAATACGTGTCATGTTTTCAAATGTTCATTAATATGTTTAATATGTTCATGTTCAATATGTTCATTCAAATGTTTATACAATATGTTCATTATTTTTGACAATTCAATTAAGTTCATCATTACTTTTATTGCACTTGTTAAAATGTGGATTGTTTTAATGCAGTTTAACATTAATTTATTAAGTTCTAGTGAAGTAAATCGGCTCAGTTTAGTTCAGTTCGACATCAAAACAAACTTCAGAAATGTTATGAAAGCAATATTTGGTGGACTTTTTGTGTCAGAACATAACAAATGCAAATAATTAAACAGCCCTATACCTATACATACAGTAAATCAAACACAATATATATCCAACATATATATCTATATTATATAAAATGACATAGATAAAACTAAAATTAACTACACTAATACTTTTTTTTATAATATATACACATTATCTCTAATTTATATATTAGATTATTTTATATATAAACATAAGTCATACTATATGTCAGACAGACACACACAGACACACACACACACACACACATATATATATATATATATATATATATATATATATATATATATATATATATATATATATATATATATATATATAGTATGTGTATATAATTTAGATACACCCTTTTAGTATAGATGTAATTTATCATGACTAATCATTGCCCAGTGCCATAATAAACAAAAATGATAAGAGGAGAGGAAATATTGCAATGCGAGCTTACCTTGCTGTCAGTGTGAAGTATTAGTCGGGTCCTGCACATCTCAACTGCATTTTAAGATACACCACTGATCGTCGTCTCCACTTCCTTCCTGTTCACACGATGATGACGATGATAAATCTGTGAGAACCTGCACTACATCAGCATTTCCATTACAACAGTGCTGCACAAGCCCACAAATGAACTAGGGTGTTAACAAAACAAAACAAAAAACCTGCTCAGTCAATACAATAATCCAGATTATGATTACCTTGACATGCATGTATGAGAGTGTTTTATCAGTTTTACTAAATTGAATATCAAGATGTTTTTTATTAAAGAAAATGATTCTGTTCATCAAAGCGTCATTTACGAAATATAATTTTTTTTAAAATTTTTAAATATTAATAACATTTGCTAAAAAACTGCTTTATTGTTCAATGCAGTTTAAAATTAAATTATTACTCCAGTCATTATTGCATATATATATATATATATATATATATATATATATATATATATATATATATATATATATATATATATATATATATATATATATATATATATATAATTTTTTTTTAATAGCTATTTAAATAGAAGCTTATATTTAAAACAATTCTTCTGTGATATATCACACATTTAGGGGAAAATTCTTAAATTTCAAACTGAAGCGAACATGTGTTCTGAAGCAGGACAATAATCCAAAACACACCAGCAAGTCCACTTCTAACTGAAGAAAGACATAATGAAGTTGAATGGCCTAGTCAAAGTCCTATTCTAAATCCAATTGAGATGCTGTGGCATGACCTTAAAAGGCAGTTCATGCTCGAAAACCCTCCAATATGGCTGAATTACAACTCTGCAAAGATGAATGGGCTAAAATTTGACCCACAGCACTGTAACAGACTCATTACAAGCAATTGTTTAGATTGTTAAAAACATTTAATTGCAAGTTGCTGCTGCTAATGGTGAGCACAATAAGTTAACTTATTGGGTTTAGGGGCAAACACTTTTTCACATAGGGCTACAGTATGTATATTTCGCTCAAGGTTTTTTTTTCTTTCACTTTCGTCAATTGGTAAAGTTTGTTCCTCCAAACTGTTCACTGGCTTTCATGGTTTGGGACTTGTGGAGCTGTAAATTGTTTTATTTGCTCTTCAGTGTTTGGACTTTAAGCAGTGAAAATTAAACCACACTGAACTGAACACAGTTTCAATTTACTAGAACGTCTATGTTAAGCTGCTTTGACACAATCTACATTGTAAAAGCGCTATAGAAATAAAGATTAATTGAATTGAATGTAGTTTTACATTTAGTTTCAAAATGATGTGTTATCTTTGACTAATATTTAAATTAGTTTGATGATTTAAAACATAGAAATGTGTTAAACCTGAGAGACAAAAAAAGACAAAATCAGTAAGGGGCCAAACACTTTTCACAACACTGTATATATAAGGCTTTTTACAGAGGTATCTTAGGGCCTACTCACACTATGCTATCGGAACCGTACCCAGGCCCATTTCCCGGATCGTTTGGACTGTTTCATATGGATTAATTAATCATTCTTACTGTTCAATGAACGCAAACTGTCATAGTTTATTAAAGATGCAAACCCCCCACTGCATGACAGCTGCACCTTCAGAAACCTCATAATTCCTGCAGCACGAGGACTTCATGATTTTTTAAGAGCGTCAAAAGTGGCTGATCTGTTTGGCGAAATATTTGACAGTGTCACCGCATCCAAATCAACTTTAACGATATAACTGAAGAAATCTCCATTGTGCTGAGCGAGAGCACTTACGGAACAAATTAGTGCCTTGTGTTTCCTCTTTTTTTGTGCTTTTGCTCTACAGAGATCATCCTGTTAAATTGGTTATTACAAGAATGTTTGGTTTTTGGTTTATATATTGAAATATAAAGACAAAAGTGATAAGTTACTACGGAACAAATTAAGTTTCTCTTGGTCAGTGTAGAAATGTAGTCTTTTTAGAGGCAAATAGATCTCTGTTTAATCTGTTTTCTTTCTAAGCCGTTGCAATGTTTAGCCTATATTTCTATAACATGAAATGACATGTTGAGGGGTTGATCCTCTATTAGCACTTTATATTGAGAAAGCTGTTCATCATGCTCACTTTGTGCATGCTACGTGGTTGCTATAGTGTTCCGAGTGGTTGCTAGGTGGTTGCTAAGGCATGCAAGGTGGTTTCTACGGTGTTGCTAGGTGGTTGATAAGTTGTTGATAGGCGGTTACTGAGACGTTCTAGGTCACTGCTAAGGTTTTGATAGGGGGTTGCTAAGCAGTTGTTAGGTGGTTGCTAAGTCATTAGAAGGTGGTAGCTAAGGTTGCTTGGTTGTTTTAAGTGGTTGCTAAGGTGTTGCTTGCTAGGTGGTTGCTAGGGTGCTGTGAGTGGTTGCCAAGGCGTTGCTAGGTGGTTACAAGGGTGTTCTGAGTGGTTGCTAAAGCAGGTGGTTGCTAAAGTGTTCTAAGTCATTGCTAAGGTGTTGTCAGGTGGTTGCTAGGGTGTTCTGGGTAGTTGATTTAAAGTTGTTAATGAATTAGCATGGTTCTAGTATGAATTAGCATGTTGCTAGCATGTTACTAGCATAAACTAGCATGGATCTTGTATGAATTAGCATGTTGCTAGCATGTTCTGAAAGGTTTCTAAGGCAGTTGCTAGGATGTTCTAAGTGGTTGATAGGCGGTTACTAAAGTGTTGCTAAGGTGTTCTGACTGGTTGTAAAGGTGTTGATAAGGTGGTTGCTAAGTTGTTGCTAGGCAGTTCCAAAGGTGTTCTAGGTCATTGCTAAGATGTTGCTAGGTGGTTGCTAAGGTGTAGCTAGGTGGTTGCTAAGGCATTACTAGGTGGTAGCTAAGGTGTTGCTAGGGTGTTCTGAGTGGTTGCTAAGGCATTGCTCTGAAGTTGCTAAGGCATTGCTAGGTGGTAGCTAAGGTGTTGCTAGAGTGTTCTGAGTGGTTGCTAAGGCATTGCTAGGTGGTTGCTTAGATGTTGCCAGGCAGTTGCTAAGGTGTTCAAGGTCAATTGCTAAGGTGTCGGTAGGTAGTTGCAAGAGTGTTCTGAGTGGCTGCTAGGCAGTTGCTAATGTGTTGCTAGGTGGTTGCTAAGGCGTTGCTAAGTGGCTCCTAAATTGTTGCTAGGTGGTTACTAAAGTGTTTTAGGTCAATGCTAAGGTGTTGCTAGGTGGTTGCTAGGGTATTCTGGGTGGTTGCTAAGACGTTGCTAAGGTGTTGCTAGGCTGTTGCTAAGGTGTTCTTAGTAGTTGCTAGGAAGTTGCTAACAAATTAGCATGGTTTTAATATGAATTAGCATATTGCTAGAATGTTTCTAGCATAAATTATCACATTATTAGCATGGTTCTTGTATGAAAGCATGTTAGTAGCATGAGTCTTGTACAAGTTAGCTTGTTGCTGACATGTTTCTAGTATAAACTAGCATGTTGTTAGCATGACTTTAGTATAAATCAGCACGTATGTAGCATGGCAGTTTTTATCATGGAAGTCTATGAGACAGTTGCTATGGTGCCGTAAGCGGTTGCTAGGGTGTGGCTATTAAGTTGAAAGGTCATCAGTGATTAGCAGATTGGTAGTCTGAGTTAAAGAAGCTCAAACTTAAGACTGTATGACAGTCTGGCATAAAGTTATGAGGTCACAAAGTTTGGTCCAATGTTAAGTCAATGGGATTTTTCTGAATTTTCTGTTTCTGTTTTTTGAAAACCTTAAATCGGATAAGTTGGAAAAGATACAGCAACTTCATTCCAATAGATTGGAGGTTTGGAGTGAGTTTGGTGGTTATAGTATGAACGCTCTAGGAGATGCTTTCTTAAAATAGTCTAAGAAGAAGAAGAAGAAGCTAATGTAGTGTATGTTGTCTTTCTCAAGCCAACATCACGAATCTTTAGTAACATTTTCAATACATTTCTTTACTCTCACTCTTGATCAATTTAAATCATTCGTACTAAAAATTTGCCAAATTCATGTATTCCTTTGGCTTAGTCCCTGATAATCAGAGGTCACCACATCGAAATGAACTGCCAACTATTCCGGCATATGTCCACACAGGAATGCCAACTGGTCCAACTGGGCCTTGAACCAGCGACCTGCAAGAGTGAAGTAAGAGTGCTACCCACTGAGCCAAATGATCAAATCTTTTTAAAGCAGATGATGACACAGAACACAACAAACTGCATAAACACAACGCATACATATCACAAATATGAAACATTTAATCATTATATGTCCTATTTTATCTCTAAAAATTTTGAATAACAACTGTAACATACAAATGAAATAAACAATGGGGATGCAAATGTCTATCAAAACTGACCTGAGAGAGTAAAAAAAAAAATATGAAACAAATATATAAATGTAGCTTTTTCTCATCTGATGTAATTCTGCAATCTGACCAGAAGGGGCAGAAAAACTTCATGATAACACTGCTGTACATACGTCATTAAAACTACTAGGAAGGGAATAAATTTAATTTTAAATAGAACAGAACACACAGACACACACTAAATGTTGAAATGTAGAGTGATTCCTGTGGCAAAAGTGGCACAAAACTCTTAAAACTTTCTTTTTTGAACATGCTCAATGAAGGATTACATGCAACCACAGTTAAATCGCTAACATATGTGTGCTGGAAAACAGTTTTCTTTGAAAAACAGAATTTTAGGGACTCACAGTGCCAGTCGGTACTTCCCAAGTAATAAATAAATTCACTCTGAGAATAAAGATTTTATTAAAGAGAAGTTTTATACTCCCATTTTTTATACTCCCAGATCAAAGAGTCTCTGAATGAACTTGTGTCTTTGTTTTAGAGTATGCTAAAAGTGCCGCTTCTTTCTGATGTTGAAAGATGCTTTTCTGAATGGGTCTGCAGTGAAATGAGGTCTGAGTTCACTAATCTTTCTAGAAGGTTTTGAGTCTGGTCTTGAGTTGTAGCGTTTCTGCTACAGATATCCGGTCATGGTAAAAACTCAAGCCTGTCAAAAGTTCAATGTCTCTGATTCGCGCCACGTGAAGCTGAACCCAGTCCTGAAACCATGAGTAGTCGGTGCCATTCTGGAAAAAGAAATGAGAAAACAAAATGGAAGTGTAAAAAATAAATGCACAATAAGAAAAATATAAATAAATGTGAGAGAAACGTCAGATTCATTCTTGAGGAAAATATCAAACTGAAAGCGAAAACAGTTTTTGTGTGACTATTTATTTGCAAATGAGGTACTGCCCTTGTCCCTTTCCAGAAGAAGGCGTAGCATTTGCAGCTTGTGTTTAAGTTACTCCAGTAAACAATTAACAAAATACACTGCTCCATTAAAATAACAATTTCTGTTCTAGAATTGTTGCTGGATCAGCCCCGGCTAGTTTGCATGTTCTCCCTGTGTTTGCAAGGGTTTCCTCTGGTTGGTTGCTCCGGTTTCCCCCACAGTCCAAACACATGTGGTATAGGTCAATTGGGTAAGCTAAATTGACCGTAGTGCATGTGTGTAAATGCAAAAGGGTGCTTCCCAGTGTTGAACTGCGGCTGGTTATGCATATGCTGCATGAAACATATGCTAAATAAGTTGGTGGTTCATTCCGCTGTGGCAACCCCAGATTAACAAAGGGACTAAGCCGAAAAGAAAAGGAATGAATGAATATTTTGTTCTTCACATAGTAATTGCTGACAACAAACATATAGACATGTGACCTGCTGGTTGTTTTGCAGGGTTCTGGCAATGCTTCTCCTTGCACAAAGGTGGAAGTAGTGGTCCTGCTTCTGGGTTGTCACCCTTTTACGGCCTTCTTAATGTCTCCTGATGTACTGGTCTGTGTTCTGGTTGCGCCTCCATGTTCTAAACACTATGCTATCAGACACAGCAAACCTTCTTGTCACTGCTCGCATTGATGTGACATCCTGGATGAGCTGCACTACCTAAGCCACTTGAGTGGGTTGTAGACATACCAGCCAACACTCTCGTTTTTCTCGAGAGTCTCTTGTATTTCAGATGCCACCCTACCATTTTATTTGTTTGGGAAAATTCCCATAATCGCCCCCAGCCCAATCCACCCCCTGGTCCTCAGCTTTTTGGTACGTCTGTAACACCTCCGGGTCGCCAACTTTGGTACAGTATCTGATTGCAGCGCCAGCCAGAAACCTGCTTCATAGTATAGTTACTAAAAACACAGTACTAACCCAGTTCTTAACAGTGTTATTTAGACACCTTACCGATGAACATCCAACCCCAACCAAGTGAGACCAGCAGGGGGTGCTCAACTTGCGGTTTGTGTGGGTCCTAACGCCCCAGTGAATGGCACTCTATACTGCTCAGTGAGTGCCTTCTTTTGGAAGAGACATTAATCCAATTACTTTTATGGTGTGGATTCATAATAATCAGTACATGGTCATTCATCTATGCTTAGAAATGGTACTGACAGTGAAAAATGCCAATTTCAGGAATTGTTTTAAGTACAACAGGATCTCTATTAAAAAAGTATTTAGTCATCCAGCCCTGCGGTTAATTTAATTAAACTCAGCTTATAGAAGAAAGCATTATCCCCAAATATGAAGACTTACCAAAATGTTTAGAGACAGAAACCGGGCAAAACAAGGTTAAACACTTAAAACCAGAAATGCTGTTTTGCAAGACAGAATTTGTGGACATTTTTTGCTGTTACTGCATATAATGTAGTAAAAAAAAAATAGGTTTACACAGAATGATTTTGAGAGTATAGAAACAAAACAATTTACACATGAAGTAAACAAATACTGTTTAACTTTTATCTAAGGTTTACCATGCAAATCCAATTAAATAATATTTATATCCACTGAAGTAATATTATATGACAGAAAATATTATTTTAATGTATTGACTCAATAATGGGCTAAAAAATCAGTGGATTTCTGTGGGTGCAGATTCTGTATGGGCCTTCTTTATGTGTATTTACATGTCTGAAACCTACAATACATGTTATTTGTTTGGAAATACTGATAAATTGTTATATTTCTACAATTGTATTGTGAAAAACAAAATGTAATGTATCACTTCACAACCTTGATTGTTAGTGATTTTGTGGTAAGTAAATAACTTAAAAGGTTTTTATTTTGGGTGAACTATGCCTTTAAACTAATACAAGTGTGGCATGAGTTTAAAAAAATAGTTAACAAGTTACCTAAGCAGCCAATTACTCAATACTTCCTGTGTATATTATATTAACGGTTGTAGTTTATAAATGGCTGACTACATACATGACATGTTTCCAGATGATCAGGACGATGAGGCAGAATGAAGCTCACGGCGTCTAAAGGACCTTCACACTGGCGCACTGATAGAGATGAGTTCTTACAGCTTGTAAGAATAATAAAGAAATGTGTAGGAATCGGTGCTCCATTCCTGAAAGTAGAGGACAATCATCTGCATCTGCTTATTTGTTGCCAAGTACTTGTTTTTTTTACATAGTTTGGCCACCAGTGGGCAGTATGAACAGTTTATGAGATAGTAACAGAGAACCTAATGTATAAAACAAAAAGTTCACTTAAAAATTAACATTTCAAGTGGTTCTAAACTTCTGTTAAACATAAAACTTCATAAATGATGAAGAATGTTAGAAAAACAAGCCATTGACATTGGGTTCCTACACTTTCATCAACAACAGATTCAAGGACATTCATTGACTTTTTAAACCATCAATCTTTTTAAATCAAGCACCTTTGTAACTATACCCTAGTATACAGTATGCAGCGCCATGAAAGTCCTAACTGATTTTAATATTTTACTTAGCCTTATAACTTTAGAAATCAACCGTTTTAAACAATCATTTTTTAAAGAGCTTGAATTAAATTGGTTGAATAAAATGTTGGTAATATTCAAAAACAATAAAATATTGTTGTAAAATGTGGATTAGTCTCTAAAATATTGATAAAATGTGCATTATTTGTCAGTGTTATTGTACAAGACAAATTCAAGAAATTAAAGATATATTTCTGTTTATAATATGAAAATATTTTAAATAAAATCTGTTCTTTTGAATTTGATCATTTAATCAAAGAATCCTGAAGAAAATGTATCATGGTTTTCATTAAAATCACACAAAAAATGTTCAACACTGATAACAGTAAGAATCCTTTCTTGAGCATCAAATTAGCATATTGTACTGATATTTTAAGGATTATGGGTTTAAAGACAAGATTAGTAATGTTAAAAATCTTTTTTTTCCATCAAAGCAATACATTACAAAAATTATTTAAAAATCTACAAACATGGTATAGCCACAACTAAAATTCTTTTTTTTAAATTTGGAATGATTAAGATTACATTATTTCTATATACATTATATTGCCCTTATTGTTTGCATACAAGCGGACACAGCTATTTGAATCTTGTTGGCTCGAGACTTCCAGTCTCATTCACTTCCTCTCATTTTTAGACATCAAAAACAGCTTGTTACGCTGCTTGATGTTGCAAACTGAAATTTTCATATTATATTATTGTGTTTTGTCTGTATAGTCATAAACACACTTCCCTGTAGGCACAGGACGTCAACATGACGTCATATTGACGTTGTACCGCAACATCCACCGATGTCGTGGGGACGTTGGATTTTGTTTGGAATCGGCTTGACGTCAGAAAACAACATCAGGCTGATGTCAATGTCCAACGTCCAATCTAAAATCAACCTAAAATCAACCAAATCTCAAGGTCTAATCATGTTACACCACTGTGACATCTATCAGACGTTGGAATTTGGTCCCTTTCCAACACAATTTAAAATTAATCAAACATCAACGTAATTTGATGTCGTTATTGGGCATTAAAATATTGTTGTCCTTAGATGCTGGATTGAAATGAATTTGAATTGAATTTTGGTCACCTGACATCATGACCTAAATCTTATCTAATATTAACATCTTAGGATGTTGTGTGCTTGCTGGGTTGTTTGTAGGGCAAATAATCGCAAACAATCGTAAAAAAAATACAAGCACACTTAATAATATAGTGTTTATAAATTGTTATTTTTTATGTCCATGGTATATCTAAATGTTTACTTAACCCTCCCCCTAATATTTCTTTAGCATTTTGTGAAATAATGACATAATCTGTATTCTATGATGACCATTTTTTTTGAGAAATATTAGCACACTTTTATTGTCTAAACTTACAGGACTCCCTTGTTCATGAAGTCGTAGTTTCCATCGAAATCATTATCAAATATCGGTCCGCTCACAACATTGATGCCATTCATTTCCTCAGAAAACTTTATCAGCAGAAAATTGTGAAAGTGAGTCCAAATATCTGTACAAAAAAAAAAAAAGACATGAAACAAGGAAACTATGAACAAATAAAGTTCTTAGAGTCACAGAACACAAAAACACAGTACACTACAGGAGAGGTTTATGAGAGAGAAAACATGGTAACACTAAATGATATCTAACACTGTAAATACCATGATCAAAACATTATTAAAATGTGCTGGTCATAACTATATTTATACATAATCTTTTATAAATCATTATGATTCTTATACTATGCTTACCACACTTAAACACACAGTTCAGATGCTCTATTTTAAGACATTTGTAAGTTTTCCTTTGTGTAGGACTAGTTTCTGACACATTTAAGACTTCAAAGCCTTGAATTTTGTTTTGATATGATTTTTAACAGTTGCAGTTGTTAAAAATAACAGAAATCTGGATCAGTGTAGTGATACGGAACTGTAATGAGCTCAAAACCTACCTGGAACTACTTTAGCTTTGCATTTAAGTGGAAACCAGATTGTTTATCAGCCAATCAGAATCAAGCACTCAACAGCCACATAGTATAGCATGTTTGCCATCTGCAATAATTGCAAAAGTGCCACAGACTCATAAAAAAAGACTCAAACCACATTTATTTGGGTTACAAAATTGCTATGATAAATGCAGAAACAATTTACTTGTGTAACTGTCAGTCACTGATAGCAGATTAATGTGTTATGAAATACTGGTTCACCAAAAATACAAACCACAAAAACACACTGTGATGTTCAGATCACTCACACATAACGATAGGCAGAAACTTACAGTCAGATGAGTGATTTGTAATGGATTACAGATGTGATTGCCATATCATGTTAGGCAGGGCACACACTATAAGATATAAAGACCCAATTTCAGCCACTTCAGAACAATCCTACGTATTATCTTGGTAATTCTGAAGTTTATTTGATCAGATTTATGTGTGATTTAAGGTGTGCTAAGAAGGATTTAGGGCCCTAATATTTCAAAATGTATGATGCTAGTTTCAACATGGTCAAATTTTTTATCCAGGTATCATTTGCACATTGTTTAAATAGCAAATGATTTGTACCCATCTGTGCACCCATGGGCATGCTGGTATGTAAATGAGGTGTGTTAAGGCACATTGTTGATGCGCTGCTATTATGAGGCAACTGAAATAGCCTGTGAATTATTAAGTTATTTAAAGTGTGTGTTATTGATACTTATTACACACAGGGATGTGCAGCAGCACACAAATATATTTAATACAAAAAAAATTAATAAGATTAAAAGGTAAAATATTATTATTGCCTTCATAAATATAAAAACTGCTACCTCCTCAATGCTATCTTTTTTTTCACCTAAAGCAGGGGTGTCCAAACTGGTGTCCTGCAAACCTAAGCTCCAACTTGCCTCAACACACTTGCAAGGTTGTTTCTAGAAAGCCTAGAAGGAGCTTGATTAGCTACCCCAGGTGTGTCTGATTGGGGTTGGAACTAAACTTTTCAGAACACCGGCCCTTCAGGACCGAGTTCAGACATGCCTGACCTGAAGGCTGATTTATATTTCTGCATCAAGTGCGCGTGTTTGATTTGTCGCAGCCTTCACGCGGTCGCATAGACCTCACTATGGCTGGCATCAAAACTCATGCGCACCTCACAAAAAAATGTAACTACATGTCGCAACGATGCATATCGCAAGCTCTGGGATTGGTGGGTATGGTATTGATGACGATTGTGGACAGTGCTAAGGACTACAAGCATGATTGAGTGTTTACAAGTGTCGATTTCCTTGAAGGAGCTCCAGATGAAACCTTTTGTTTTGTGTTGTTGTTGCACATCTGCTTGTTCCCGACTATGAATGAGTGACTTTTAGCTACTTGTAGCGTTCAGAAAAAACAAAACTCGACACAGAGGAAAATAAAAACCTATTGCCAGCTAGTGTTTTGGAAGTGTTATTGCAGAGCAACACAAACAGCACACAGAAGTATAAACGCATAGTTACGTGCAAGGCAAGGCGCAGTGAGTCACTGTGATTGCTAGACGCAGAAGTATAAACCAGCCTTAAGGGGGCATTGGTGGAATCCGGCTTGTTTTGAGGATGATTTGCTTGCATGCTTTATTTTTCAGCTTTTCTGTTTATTACGCCTCTTCTAAGAGGCCTTCATTGGCTGCCTGTCAAATTCAGAATTGATTTTAAAATGCTTTTACTGGTATATAAATCCCTCCATAATTTAGCCCCATCCTATTTCTTAGAGCTGCTTCATTTTTATACTCTCGTGAGATCTCTTAGGTCAAGTGATCAGAATTTTCTTTTAGTTCCTCAGTCCAGGCTGAGATGTAGAGAGGACAGAGCTTTTTCTGTGTCGGGTCCTCGGTTGTGGAACACCTTGCCCCTTGAGATTAGAAGGGCTCCATCATTATCTATTTTTAAATCACTTCTTAAAACGTACCTTTTTATCTTGGCCTTTTAAGATTATTTCAATAGTCCTTTCTGCTGCAACATTTTTACAGACATTTCTCTTGCCTTATTTCTATGTTTTTATATTCTGTCTTACCTTGTCTTATGTACTGCTTTTAAATTTGCTCTATAAATAAACGAATTTGAAGTTCGCCATGTAAACAGTGTTTGCGACATCGTGCGAACACAACTCAATCTTAAAGGCAATCACAGATAAGACTCTGATTGGTTTAATCACTCTCAAAACACACCCATGACTCATTTAGAAAACAAAAATAGCACTTTTAGACCTTGCACTGGGTGCACCAACTGTTTTCCCGCTTGTTATTAGAAGAGATGCATATCGGGCCTAAAATTAATGAGAATTATTTGATTATTTATAATATTTCCATTACACTGTACTTTATTATGTCTAACACTACCCCAACTATAAACCTACCCCTTACAGTAAAGTGTTGTTTTATAATGACAATAGTAATTGTTGTTGTAAAATGTCAGAAAAATTATGCCATGTCCATGCTATATACAGTACATATGTATACCCAAGTATCCACAGCTGTATCCTTAAAAAATAAAATATAGTAATATTAATTCATTTAATTTATTTTCGACTTAGTCCCTTCATATACATTTATATAATAGTATAATAAAATATAAATAAGAATTTACACATATTTTCCATCTTCAAACCCTATCCAGCAAGCGCTATGTGTATCTGCACTGTGTATTAGACTATGTGCTTATATCATTAAAATAGAGCCCTTCATACATTTGGGACTCTGACTGAAGTCATGGTGGTGTGTGTGTGTGTGGTATGCTGTTTGTTAAATCTCAGAACATCAAACAATATTCAAGCGAAATGGTGAAATCCAAGAACTTTTTGTTCTTGTGTTTAAATGTCTAGAAAATCTTTTAGTGTGTACCCAGTTTAGTTGAGTAAATTAAATGGATAACTCGCACTCTGATCTAAAAACTTGCACAACACACAATGAAGAAAGTGTTTACCATACACCGGTGTTGCAATTACCACTGATGAGAGTCTGAGGTTGAAGCAAAACACCAGTTAATGAGGTTGACGGTGCTGAATGGCTTATTGTGCAAACTCAACATTCTCAGATCTGCCTACATCAAGATTTGACAGGATTACTCTTCTCAAATCTGAGATCAACTGTTAACTCACATTTTACTACTGTCTACTGCAATCAGTTATGGCAAATTGCTAAAAACTACATTCTAAAAGCAACTATATCAGATATATTGTAGTTAAATAAACCACAAAGAAAGGTACTTAAAATAAACATCAATTTAAATAAAATATATGCAGTGCATATCAAATGTACGCATACAGGTAAAGTCAAAATTATTAGCCCCCCTTTGATTTTTTTTTCTGTATTAAATATTTCACAAATGATGTTTAACAGAGCAAGGACATTTTCACAGTATGTCTGATAATATTTTTTTCCTCTGGAGAAAGTCTTATTTGTTTTATTTCAACTAGAATAAAAGCAGTTTTTATTTTTTAAAATATATTTTAAATTCAAAATTATTAGCCCCTTTAAGCTAATTTGTTTTTCTAAAGTCTACAGAACAAAACCATTGTTATATAATAACTTTCCTAATTACCCAAACCTGCCTAGCTAACCTAATTAACCTAGTTACGCCTTTAAATGTCACTTTAAGCTGTACAGAAGTGTCTTGAAAAATATCTAGTAAAATATTATTTACTGTCATCATGGCAAAGATAAAATAAATCAGTTATTAGAAATGAGTTATTAAAACTAATATGTTTAGAAATGTGTTGAAAAAAAAAATCTTCTCTCCGTTAAACAGAATTTGAAGAAAAAATAAACAGGGAGGCTTATAATTCAGAGGGGCTAATATACCTGACTTCAACCATATGCTCCTAATTTATTTCAGCTTTAAGCCAAGCAATCATTTCTCACTTTAATTTAGTTCAATGTTATATCCTTAAATAACTAAAACTGAATGGATTTTTAAATAAATATGAAACAAAAAATCATAAACAAAAACCATAATAAATAAAGCTTTAATCTATAAAAATGTAAATGTTAAATACATATTAAAAAATAAAGAGAAAAATATCAATACATCTAAAATAGTATAGACTGACAAACTGCTTGCTTTGTGAAATTTTAATTTCTCCTGATTAGTATCATTAATAAAAATTAAAACCATAAATACCTATTATATACATTTAAAATATGTTTAAAATGTATACAATTGTAATATAATACTTTTAAAGGCACAGTATGTAATTACCACCACTAGAGGGCGAGTATTTTACAACAAACAAAAGCATAATTTAATGACGCAATGACTGAATGTAGAATTGAGAGAGTTGGAGAAAAAAATGGAGAATGTTTAACATAATCACACATGGGTCAGAGTCTGTGCATATCTGTCAACCCTCCTGTTTTTGCTGAGATTCTCCAGTATTTTACCATTCTATCCGGCTATTATCCTGTTTAAGTAGTTTCCCATATTTCTTCCTGTTTTTTTTAATCTTTCTATAAAAAGCGAAAGTAGCATCAAAGAGCCAATTGCAAATGTGATATAATTGCAAAAGCTATTCAAGAGAATTATGATCTCTTGAAACAGAACTTGAGTTCTTGAAAGAACTTGGAACTAGAAAGCACTTTGAAATTAATATTAAAAACAGCCATATTCACTTAATTTCCATTAAAGTTGTTTAATGGAAACATTAACAGCGTATATTCAAATCTTTAACGACTTATGAAAGTAATCGTATGCTTTCTTTATCGATCTGTGGATTCTTAAAGACACAAATCAAACAAAACCAAATAACTATACTTTAATCAATATAAAATAAACTGTGAATAAAAAGCGAACATTCATATGTTGACAGCTATGGGTCTGTGTCTCTAGATTAAAAATGCTTATTTTTTTAGATTCAAACATTCTTCAAATACAGTCACCAGCCACTTTATAAGGTACACCTGTCCACCTTTTAGTTAACGCAAATTTCTAATCAGTCAATAAAATGGCAGCAATGCATTAGGCATTTCAAACTGAGCATCAGAATGGGGAAAAAAGGTGATTTAAGTAATTTTGAAATTGGCATGATTGTTGGTGCCAGACGGGCTGATCTGAATATTTCAGAAAGTGCTGATCTACTGGGATTTTCACGCACAACCACTTTTAGGGATTACATCGAATGGTCAAAAAAAAGAAAATATCCAGCGATATTTTAACAATGCCTTGTTGATACAAGAGGTCAGAGGAGAATGGCCAGATTGGTTCCAGCTGATTGAAAGATAACAGTAACTTAAATAACCACTCGATACAACTGTAGCATGAAGAAGAGCAACTCTGGACACACAACATGTCCAACCATGAAGCAGATGGGCTACAGCAGCAGAAGACAACAACCGCGTGCCACTCCTGTCAGCTAAGCACAGGGAACTGAGGCTACAATTTGCACAGGCTCACCAAAATTACACAATAGAATATTAGAAAAACTTCCAGCAGGATAACACGTCATGTCATAAATCGCAAATTATCTCAGACCAGTTTCTTGAACATGACAATGAGTTTACTGTCCTCAAATGGCTTCCAAAGTCAGCTGATCTCAATTCGATTGAGCACCTTTGGGATGTGGTGGAATGGGAGATTCGCATCATGGATGTGCTGCTGAAAAATCTGCAGTAACTGCTACCATGTCAATATGGTTCAAAGTCTCTGAGGAATATGTACAGCACTTTGTTAAATCTACTATATGCCACAAAGAATTAAGGCAGTTCTGAAGGCAAAAAGGGGTCCAACCCGGTACTAATAAGATATACCTTATAAAGTGGTTGGTGAGTGTATATATCTCTATTCCTGTATTTTTTGGATATTTTAGTGAATATAAATATTACATATTGTGTCTTTAATTGCATTTTACATTTGAACAGCTTGTTTGTAAGGCTTCAAAGACCCTTCAAATACATCCTGTTCCGTTTGTCTACAGTTTTACTAGACCAGCAAGGCAGCATCTCTGTGTCTGTTCTCTCATCAAGTCCGTTTTTAACAGCAGAGGCATGGGATTACTCTAGGAAAACTGCAGGATGCTCTTTTTTTATACCATTCCTAGGTGTTTTTTGGCAGGTCAGACACTCCTGTGAGACAGTGTTTTTTATATTTGGTCTAAATGCAGACTGGCCTCAATTCAGCTGTGATTCAGCTGGCATTCTAATTATAGGGCAGATTTAAACCTTTGAAGGAATGTCAGATATCTTTATATAAAAAAAAAATAAAGAGTTTAAAAGAGACAAATTATGTAAAAAAGAGAAGAATCATGTTTTGCCAAAAATCTTTGGAAAAAAACATTAAAAACACCAAAATGGCAATCATGATCCTCATGTACACTATAAAAAAATGACAAAATATCAGGACAACAAGGCTTTTAGCGACAGTATTTAAAAAAAAAAGATAATCAAGGTTTCAACTTAATATTTTAAGATATATAAAGGTAAACTCATCATTTTTCATTAAGTAGGAATGGTTCGAACATACAACAACAATGTTGAAACTTCCTATAAATTATTAATTGTATTCCCTTGGTGTAAACCATAATGCTGATTAACATCTGTAAGCTTTATTGATTTCAGCATTCCTTTGCTGACATTTTATTGCACTTTTCCAAAGAAAAGCTGCACATTCTCAGGAGTTATGGAGTTGGAAGGCAGAATTATGGCTTGAGTTTAAGTAAAACAGACATCTGGAAGCTATTGTGAATTCAAAGTTCAGCATTTGTTGGTTGAATATTGACAAGGACATACCAGAGACTATAGTCTGCAAACTGTACAGTATTTTTGGCATAAATATAAAACATAAAGAATACTGACAAAACAACATGGTTTCTAGCATTACATAACATACAACCAAACCCAGAAATAATTATGTGCAAAATGAACTTTAATATTAATTTCTGCATTAACATTTGATTTAAATTCAGGTATAAAAGCTAACAGTAAATCTACTTGAAAATATTAATAAATATAAATAAAATACACTCTAAAGTTTCTCTCAGAACAAACATGCAAACTATGCACAAAATATGCAAACAAAACCATTTCCCAGGTATAAGGAACTCTAACTGCAGTCTGACTGTGTTTTTCTAAAAGGTTGATCATTAAACACGCCTTACCTTTGAAACCAGGATACATGGGCACCATGTTGCTTGTAATTAAAGAGTCTGGCTCAGTTCCTGCAGGGCTGAAGTCTGAGAGAGAGAGAGAGAGAGAGAGAGAGAGAGAGAGAGAGAGAGAGAGAAAGAGAGAGAGAGAGAGAGAGAGAGAGAGAGAGAGAGAGAGAGAGAGAGAGAGAGAGAGAGAGAGAGCGAGAGAGAGAGAGAGAGAGAGAGAGAGAGATTTTTCAGTCATACAAACTCAACAACAGAGTAGACATAGCGGCTCTGTTATTAAACTGGACAAATCGCAAAACTGTGTGGTTAAATATATTTAACTAAACTAAACGCTACCATTTAAACATCTGGGATCAGTAAGATTTTGGTTTTTAAAAGAATTTAAGGATTTATTTGAGCAATTATGTATTAATATGTACTTGACCAGAAGTCATACCAAAGGCTTCAAGGTTTCATTGCTACAAAATATTCATATTTCCAATAAACGCTATTCTTTTAAACTTCTACTCCAAAATCCTTTCAACAGTACAATAGTTTTATTGATAAATACAATACATGCTTATTGAGTTGAAAAGGATAATATTGGAATGATTTCTGAAGGATCACTGCAGTAATGATGCTGAAAATACAGTGTTGAACTACACATATACAGTATACAGAATAAAAAATGCTGAGACAAATTTTGATGATGTCTAGTAAAGTATGGATGGTTGCTAAATGGGTGCTAATTAAAAGCCTGTTGCTAGGTAAATCTGGGTGGTTGCTAGGTTAATACTAATTTGGTCTGGTTAGTTGCTAGGGTTTTTGTTTCTAGTTCATTCATAAATTTTCCCTATTTTCCCTAATTCTCTATTTCAGAGGTTACCACAGTGGATTTAACTGCCAACTATTCCAGCATATGTTTGGATGCCCTTCCAGAAGGAACCCGGTTTTAGGAAACATCCATACACACTTATTCACTACAGAAAATTTAGTTAATCCAATTCACCTATACTGCATGTCTTTGGATGGTGGGGGAAACTCATGCCAAGGGGGCAGAACATGCAAACTCCATACATAAATGTCAACTGAACTCAAACCAGCAATCTTCTTGCTGTGAGGTGACAGTGCTAACCACTGAATCACCATGGCACCCTTTTTACTAGTTAGTTACAGTATTAAATTAAGCTTTTGTCTATCTCGATGATAACATGATTAGAAAAGGTACTAGCATGATGCTAGCTACTGTTGTGCTAAAATGATACTAACATGATTATGGCTTTTGTCTACTGTACCTTTTTTTCAATACACATTGTAACATTAGCAGAATGTCTTGATTGTACAATATTACTGCTGGTATACAACAACACAAGTGATATTTTGAAGATATAAATGTTTATAATGATGCTTTTTTAACCATTATTCAGTTCTAATTGTTCATTAGACTAATCTGTACCCTTCTAGCTATGAATAAGAATAAATAACGGTTGTATTTAAAAAAAAAACATTTTAAAAAATGATAACTATTACTTTTGTTTAGGGGACTGATTCATTTGATTCACATTTCAACCTTCAGAACTTCCATTAAGGAAACATTTAGTGAGCATCAATGCTGCCTGATTTTCATGGTACATCATGGGACATATCAAAAGAATTAAGTGATTGAAAAGGGCTTAAAATGGCTGACTTTCTGATCAGTACCTTGACTACTGAAAAGGGAGATGATTGAGGCCCCATTTAGACTATTTTATTATAAATATGCACACAGTAAAGATGATGATCGTGTGTAAATATGCAGCTACACGATGCCTCAACATTTTATGTCTGTTAAGTTGTGTCTAATTTCAAAATGAAAATAGGCAGTTCTTTATATCATGTTTTCATTTTATTGTTAAGATGTTAAGTGAAACAACATAGCCAGGGTGATGTGAATTACTTTAAAAAGTAGCCTACACTGTTCCCTTCGAAGATTTACCTGACGTGTCCTGAGAAGTTTTTTTTTTTTACCATATTAAACTTGCAAAGTCTGAACTTACCAGGAGAAGATTTAAGCCTGAACTTTAAGAACTTGATATTGTGAAAAATACTCAATCAGATAGCAAATGTCTGCAGCCGCGCCTTTATTTTCAGATGTCTCCATTTCTCCCCAACCACACTGACATGGTGCAGCAGCTTTATAAAACCAAACCATTTTTGGGGCTTGAAAACTCTGTGGTAGTGTGGACAGAAGGCGTAAGCGTAGCAAAAGTTATGCGTTTTAAAACTAAAGCGTATTAGTGTAAAGAGGGTCTGAGACACCCTGAGACTTTGCTAGCAACAATAACTGTTAACACTTGTAGCATTTTGCTAATAGGATGCTAACTTCATTAACATATTTTAAAGAAGATTCATTCATTCATTCATTTTCTTGTCGGCTTAGTCCCTTTATTAATCCGAGGTCACCACAGTGGAAGGAACCGCCAACTTATCCAGCAATGTTTAAGAATATTATTACCATGATGCTAAATCATTTGACATACAACACAAAGTTGAGATGCTGTGGGTGTGTCTCAATCAGTTTCCCAGTTCAAAAGGTTGTGTAAACAAATTAAATTTGAGCACTGTTAAGGGCAGTGAAGGACTTGGTTTACTACAAAACTGAGCGTGACATGAGAATTTCCTCATTGTACAACATCAAAACTGGACATTATAAACCACAGCAGAACTAATATTTGTCATTTATGAACTTTTTGATGTTTTTAAAAGTACTTAAAAGCTAAATAATTTTATCGTTTCATATTCCAGCAACATTTATTCATTAATTTTCTTTTCGGCTTAGTCCCTTTATTAATCTAGGGTCGCCACAGCAGAATGAACCACCAACTTATCCAGCATATGTTTTACGCAGTGGATGCCCTTCTAGCTGCAACCCAGTACTTGGAAATCATTTCAACCTTTAATTATTTATAAATGTTTGCTAGATTTGTCTGTACCTGTCTAACCATGTTAATATGTAGTTAAATTTAAATAAAGTACATTTCTTTTTTTATAAACATCTTTCGTTTGTCATTATGTTTAGTAATTTGTTACACATGACTAATATATAATTTGCTCTCCACAGTGTCCATTAAGGGAACATCTGTAGTAAGCATCAAAGCTCACTGATTTTAACAGTGCATTCTGAGACGTTTCAGTGAACAATGTGTTCAGTGCACTGGATTAATTTTCAGCACTCTGATTATTGAACAAGTGAGCTGATAAAGACGCACCCTGAGATAGCCTAGAGATCTTGCTATATTGGTTGCAAGGGCACTTTGTTTTGTTGCAAAGGACTGACTTAGCGAGATGGGTCTGGATGCAGACCTGGGGCCTCATGTACGAAGACTTGTGTGGAAATCATACTAAAACATTTCATACGCACAAAGCTGTAAATGTGCGTACGCAGAAAAAAATTCAGATGTATGAAACACTGCGTACGCCGAATCTCACGCATATTCTTTTGTAAATCCGAATGAACGTGAAACTGAGCGCAACATGCAAGAGCACAAAACCCCTCCCTGCCTCCCATAAATATGCTAATGACTCTACTTTGGCAAAACCCAGCGAAAAAGCAATGGCAAAAGCAAGCAAAAAGAGAAACTTTGAACAGAATGTGAATTGGAGGTGCTGCTTTCGGAGGTAGACCAGAGAAAACGGTGTTATTTGCAAGTTTGTCCTCCGGAATTAACAACAAAAGAAAAAAAAATAGGGTGGGAAAGTTTAGCTGATGCGGTTAACACAGTTGGGTGGGTCTGAACATCGCACTGAATGAATTAAAAAATAAATCGTGTGATTTATAGGTGTAAAATGTTGCAGCACCCTTAACAGTCTCAGTGGCGCAGCTCGTAAAACGCATGTCAACATGTTTTGACACGTTCGAGCATGAACACGGTTCGAATCCAGCGTCTGATGAACTCTTTCTTCTTTTTTCCCCCGCTACATATCAGATTTTGCCAACTATTTATCACGAGAAAGACAAGAAAGAATCATTAATAAGTTTGTGCATCATATTTTATTTGCACATTTATTGAATGGAAATGTTTCTGATTCATGCATGCAAATTCATCTTCAGATAGTGTCTTTATAGAATGTGCGTGCAGTAGATAGCTTAGATTACATTGGGAGAACAGGCGACCGCTGCAAATTGCGCTTTAATGTTTGGCTGGTCAACTCTATGGTATGGAAACCTTATATACCTGCTAGATGAACCTGTCTCATACAGCTGCCATTGCAAGGCTCAGACACTTTGTAGAGAGCAATTTGACACAACTGCCTCTAGGATTCACCAATGGAAATAAAACAGACACGCACAAAAAATGTGCATACGCCAGCCATAAAGCTGGCGTGGAGCTGCGCACATTCCAACATTCGGTTCATCGTTAGTAAATCCAAACGTGAGCGATTCTGAGCGTGAAACCTGGCGCACGCAAAGTTTTTGTGCGTACGCAGCGTTGATACATGAGGCCCCTGGTGCAGTGCAATCTGAGTTGCATCCAATGCTTTTTAATGCGCTCACCTAACCCCACCCCTAACCCTAACCATCACAGTGACGTCACTCACTCCATTGAGTGCATTGTGTGTGACATTGCATCTCTGAATGATGCAATCTCAGCTTGCATCATAAAGGCTGCATCCAGAATCTATCAGACTTGGCAGCTGTCAGCGACAATACTTTAATGTTTGCTAAGTAAGATTGATTAAAAACTTCACTGACTCTATGACATTCAGATTTAGGCTTGGAACGTAGTAGAGTGTGCAACATTTGCCTTATTATTGAATTACATTTCTTGAAAGTTATTTTAATATTTCATATTTGCCTCTATATACTTCCCTCTTCATCACTCAAAAAAGTATTTTTGTCCTTGTTCAAAGTACTTATTTAAAAAGAGCAGAATCAACCATTTTTATTTTTTAATTTTTTAGACAACTTAAAGAGCTCCTATTATGCATTATAAAAGGTCATGTTTTGGGAGTCTCCACCAACAGTCTGATATGCATGCAAGGTCAAAAAACACTTTCATTGTCTTATAATATGCATTTGTTTTACCTACACTGTAAAAAAAATCTGTACAATAAGTCAAATGACTGTATATTTTAAAAGAATTTTTCCATACTACACATACTAAAACCACTACACGTGTTTTTCCATTTATAGACTTACAGGTGCTATCCATAAATAACATTGTTAGGAGCAATTTGTTAGTGAATCAATTTGTTTAGACAGAATTTTTTCTATCTATTACCTAATTATCCTATCGACTCCCATATGATTTGTTCTCTAATTTCTTCCCAAAACACTCCTTAGGCTAATCTGCTGTGATTGGTCTGATGACCCAGTGTGTTGCGTTGACTGGGTTTAGCATGAGACAGAGAGAAATGCTCATCTTGACTATGAAGTAGCACAGAGTATATGAGAGCCCAATACAGGAGTGCAATAAAGCAATGCAGTTAAACACCAGCATATTACTCTACTTTTAACCATAAACCCAAGTAATAACAATGACACACATTCAGTATTAATCCACACAGTGGCAAAAGTTGAACTATTTTGAAAAACGACCGTGCCGCGTGTGTGTAGTAACAGCTGATGTTGAGAAAAACAGTGAGAAAAATGACAGGAACAAACATAGCACTAGGTTGGCTATACTGTGGTGTTGTTGTGAAAATGAACTTTAACCCTTTATTCCCTACAGCCGAATCTCCATCTGTCATTGATTATCATCTTTGTGTCATGATCAAGACTAGTGATTTAAAAGTTCCAATGAGCACAGTGGCCTCCATCATCCGTAAGTGGAAGATGTTTGGATGCTTCCTAGAGCTGGCTGGCCATCTAAGCTGAGTGATCGGGGGAGAAGGGCATTAGTCAGGGAGGTGATCAATAACCCGATGGTCACTCTGTCTGAGCTCTCTGTCTTTGTCTGAGCACTCTGTCTGAGCGTTCTTCTGTGGAGAGAGGAGAACCTTACAGAAGGACAACCATCTGTGCAGCAATCCACCAATCAGGCCTATATGGTAGAGTGGCCAGACGGAAGCCACTCCCTGCCTGGACTTTGACAAAGGCATCTGAAGGACTCTCAGACCATAATAAACTAAATTCTCTGGTCTGATCTGGTCTCTGGTTTTTAGTAGCAGGAACTGTAAGACTAGTCAGGATAGAGGGAAAGATGAATGCAGCAATGTACTGAGATATCCTGAATGGGGCGATGGTTCATCTTCTAGCAGGATAATGACCCAAACACACCGCCAAAATATCAATGGAGTGGCTTTGCAACAACTCTGTAAATGTCTTTAATTGCCTCAGCCAGAGCCTAGACCTAAATCCTATTGAACATCTCAAGAGATATCTGAAAATGGCATAATGTACACCGTCACTTTACATCCAATCTAATAGAGCTTGAAAGGTATTGCAATGAGGAATAGGCAAAAATTCCAAAAGACAGGTGTGCCAAGTTTGTGGTATCTTCTTCAAAAAGACTTAAGGCTGTAGTTGCTGCTAAAGGTGCTTCAACAAAGTACTGAGCAAAGGCTGTGAATACTTATGTACAAGTGATTTTTCAGTTTTTTTTATTTTTAATTAAATTGCAACAATTTCAAAAACTATTTTTTTCACATTGACATTATGGGGTATTGTGTATAGAATTTTAAGGAGATAATTGAATTTATTTAGTTTTGGAATAAGGCTGTAACAAAAAAAAAATGTGGATAAAGTAAAGCGCTATAAATACTTTCTAGTAGCACTGTAAGTTAATTTAATCAATTTATGTTGGAACAAGATTACTTAGGGCTTGTTTTTCATTTAAAACTACTTCTTCTAACTGTTAACTTCTTTCCAGAGAGTAGCATATCATATAAATAATTCAAATGACATTTTAACAGCTATAAAAACAAGTAGAATCACACATAATCTATATTTCTACAGCAATTTCCTAACAGACAAAGTGGACAGAAGTGAAAGGAATCATAGTTTTTTTTTTTTAAAGATCTCTGGATAAATACAGACATCCTGTTAAACTCACTGGGCGGATGCAGGAGGCCGAAGCTCATAGAGGAATTGTTCTTATAGATGGAGCAAGACTGTCTGTCACTGGCTTGAACTCGCACATCTGCACGCACACACCATTCTGCAGAAGGATGCAGCACAACCTTTGTTGGACAGAGGGAAAGACAATCAATCAACAGAGGATAGGGTTACTCAATGATTATAATCAAGTGAATGACGCACATCCTGACAGAAATTACAGTGACAAGGCTGTCATTACCTTCCTGTTAATCAATATTTTCACACATTTACAAGAAAAACATTACACTAACATTAACATTACTAACTTTAAATTAAATGACCTTAACTATAAGATACTTACATTTATTTCATATAAAATTATAGTATTGTGCAACACTATTCAGATATGAGCAAACTAGAAATATGTGATTAATACATTTTTGGGAGCTGTGATACTGTGATACTGTTCATGCCTAGGGCTACATTGTTTTCATACATCTTCTAGAGCCCAGCATTTACATATTTGACAATCTCAAATACATTACTGATAGATTTTAGATCAAGGCCAAAAAAATGAAACCTGACACTACCCGAGCCTGTGCACCTTGTGTCTGGGTGAAATCTGGTTCGACAGATTAATTGTAATTATGAACCCAAACCCGAATATTTTTTAATACGTAGGCTGTTATAACAGACATTCTCAACTACAATTCAGTGTTGTTTGAATAACAAAAATAAGTTTATTTTTTATCTTAATGATTAACGCAACAAGGACAAAGCATGTAAACTTTGTTTATTCAGAATGGATTGTAACAAAAGAGGACTAACATCCTTTCTGTCATGGTAAGCCTGCTTCTTGACATGTGTTTGTCCATCCTGGAAGTCCCCATTTTTACACCTCTTTGACATCACACACGCAACGTGTGTTTTTTTTGGGGTCTATGCTAACCAATACATATTAGAGCTTTCGTATCGTACACAGAAACAGAGCGTTAGTGCTGCGATCATTTTAGCGCTGGGTCTATTTCTACCTCTGCTCAAACTCAATTAAAGTGACAGTGCACTGATGATCAATAACACAATAAATAACAGTAAAAAGTTAGCAATTTTGTCCAATAAATACATCGATAAGATCAACAGATTTTTCTATCAAGATAGATTTTTCTGCTCTATATACGCGCTGCTTCAACTCTGCTTGTGCGTGCAATGTGTGCCAGTGGAGGAGACGTTATTGCAGGACCTAGAGTGTTGGCAATTGTGCAACTTTGTTGACCTACAAATGTGTTGCTTAGGCCGACTTTGGTAAAATGTTCCTATAATATTTTTAATTATGGCATAGCTTTCCACCCAATTTAGGCTGATTTATACTTGTGCGTCAAGCACATGCATATGTTATGGCGCAGCATACACGTGGACGCATAGCCCTCGCTATGGCCGTCGGCGACGCTGACACGCATCTCTCAAAAAATATAACGACACGTCACAACGACGTGTAGCGAAAGCTCTGTGATTGGTGGGCTTGTTAGCACTGACGAGTGTGGGCGGAGGTGAGAGCCGCACGAGCCAGATGCAGTGAGAGTTTACAAGTGTGGAGTCCCATGAAGGAGCTTCGGACGGTTGTTTTGTGTTTACCCCTTTAATTAAAGTTGTAGCATGTCCACCAATTCCAATCTCAAAATGAGCGAGTTTTAGCCACTTGTAAATTAAGGTAGCATTCAAAAAAAGAAAACAGCAGTGAAAAAATTCGACACAAAGGAACATAACTGCCATACATACTGCCAGGTAGCGCTTCAGAAGTGTTATTGCAGAGCAACAGAAACAACATGCAAAAGTATGAATGCACGGCTACGTGCAAGAAGGACCCATGGGTCACGCAGATCACTCGACGCAGAAGTATAAACCAGGCTTTAGGATAATTAAGTAATGACTGAATACAAATGCTTGATCACGGCCAGGCCTGGCCCAGCCCAGTCCGAAGATAGTGACAAGGTCAGCTACTGAGCAAACTGATTGTGCTAGAAAACAATTACAGTTGCCCAAAACCCTGAGCACATGTCCCCAATAAGCCTGTGTTGATACAGGTCAGGTAAATGACAGGTTTGGGAGTATGAGGTGTATGAGTATGTGGGTTAAGAGGGCACAAAGGGGTGGGGTGCGAATTAACAGAAATATTCAGCAGCTGTAAATACCCAGTTACTTGTAAATAAAGATGAAATAACGAAACAAAGCATTATAATTCCTTTATAAATCTTAAAAAAATAAAATAAAAAATTATTATGATTGCAAACTTGTTAAGTGGAATGGAATTTATTTCGGGAATTAACACAAAAGAAATAAAATACAACTCAAATCAAAGTACAAATAAACATAAATAAATAAATAAATAAATAAATAAAGCAGTGTTTAGCCTAGAGATGTATAGTGTTTGTTATTTTAAGTAATAGTACTGAGACAGCCAATATGTAAGCTTTTTTATTTACGTTTTTATTTATTTATTTTTATTAATTTGTTGATTATATTTTACTTTCTCATTTTATGTCTTAATTATTGCACATAAACAATAAGTGAATGATTAAATAGGCCTAAATAACCATTTGTTTAAAATCAATATTAGCAAAACACAAAGAAACTGTCCGATATGTACAAAATTTGTACCAAATTAAATGTAAGTATAGTAGTTTAGGCCACGTAATATTTGTGAAAAAAAAAAAAAAAAAAAAACTCATTTACCATGGTTTACTTTAATTAAAATTTTTTTGTCAGTTTGAGAGCTCAAATGATACATCTACAGAATAATTCTTACACAAGTAACTTTTTAAACAGAAATACACACTTAACATTCAGCCTTTGAAATGTTTAATTAAAAATGTAGTCATGCCACAAATTCCTTGTCCTTGAAGGCAAAGTAACAAACAAACAAACAAACAACACAAAACACAACAGCAAAAAAAGAGAAAAAAAAAGAAGAAAAAAAATTCACATCAGGCCTAAAGCGTGAGCTATCACTGTTGTCTGATTTGTTATGTCATTTCTCAGAATCTTTCAGGTTGCGGCTTGCAGTTGCTGCATGAGTCATGAAAGCTAAAATGTACACACCATTATGTTAAACATACAGTAAATCTTACAGTGAATTTTTTGCATTATTTACAGTCATTTCAATGCAAAAGTTAATGCACTTGCTATAAAAGCCATCCCACACACTCCCCTGACTGTGAATCTTATCGCAGTTTCTAAATTCCAGCTTTAATCTTTCAGAAGGAAAAAATGCTAAATCTTGCATCAGCCCTGCTGAAGGAGCACAAATCAGATATGATTCGATCTCTCATAATGCTGGGTCTGCATCAAATGGAGTGTACTTTGCTTTTGAATGACTTAATTTAGTTTTCACATACATAAAGCAAGTTTGTTGCAATTTGCATAAATAGCCAATTTGTTTCTAGTCAAATAGTTTCAGCAGATGGATTATTGCATATAAGACATGTGTATAAAGCAGCATTTCCATCCAATAAAACAAAGAGAACAAAATCGTCTCTTCCTGATTATCTGGAGTCAAATATCTACAGTAAAGACAAAATTTGCTGTGGTAGAAGGAGCTGTTTCAATATTTTCTTTATTTAATAAATTTCTTGCACCTCAGAAGACAAATGCAGGTGGCATTTGAAGGTGTGAGAAGCGGAGCACAGAAGCTCTTGACAGTTCTGAATGTCATCATTAATAATATAATAACGCTAATACTGAAACGGTTAAGTCATTTTAAAATGACCAAAACAACATTTCAGATGTTTTACAGTGTGCTCAGCCAGCTGGTTTGTCAATTCACCCACATTTTTATCATCACTTATAACAAAATCACATGTGCAAACTGGAATTTGTTCAGTAAAAGTATTACTATTGTAGTTTATGGGTATCTTTTTTTATCGAATAAAAAGTTTATCCTACTCAGTTATGTGCAAGTGTTTTTACACGCATTTTCAAAATTGATGCGCATCTTGTCGTTTCCATCAACCGTTTTTCATCCAAAATGCGCATTAAAATAGGTGGATGGAAACATAGCTAGTTACCCTGCTGGATTTCAAACAGCCTGGATTTGTGCATTGCAATGCCCTAGGTAAACCAAATAGGTATTTTATATATATATATATATATATATATATATATATATATATATATATATATATATATATATATATATATATATATATACACACATAATTTTAAAATGAACACTGGATAAAAACAAAATCGGTTGAACTCTACTTTGAAGCAGTGCCTCCCCTTACTCCTATCATAACAACTCTTGTCACACATACCCACAGGGTAAAATACCTATTGAACATATCTTGATTCATCACAGTAAATATATTTCTAAAGGAGCTGTTGACATGAGATTGACCCAGATTTTGGTAAAAATCCTAAAAATCCAAACATATAATTAAAATAACATGTTATGTGTGATGACACAGTGAGAAAAAGTACTGAACTACTGATAGATAGCTTTAAAATGGCTCTCGTATGGAGAATGTAGTAACATAAATTGCTCGGGTGTGATTTTTTATTTTCTCAGATTTCAACAGAGCCTAAACATCCAAACTTGGTGGGTCTTGACTCTCAACCCGGATATTTATTTCTTTAATTCTACTGAATTCAGGTCCGATGATGGGGCCAATCAAGCGGCTTTATTTTCTTTCTTTGAAACAAATGGAAAGTTTTCTTTAATATATTTGGGATGATGGTCCTCCTTCATCATCTGGTAATGTAGGTGTTGAGACTAAAGTAGCTAATATTCATTTACACTGACATGTAACATGTGGGTCAGGGCTGCTGAGGAACTATTGAGAGATTTCAGCTCCTGTCGGGGTCCATGCCTTTTCACACCTCCATTTTTTCATGTGCTCGATACTTTTCCTCTGTGTCATTTAATTTTTTTACACCTAATTTTATTCATCTTTGGATGTTTGGATCCCTTTGGTTGTTATTGACATCATGTTTTCTGAGAAAAACGTGATGTGTCCAATCGTTTTATTTACTTGCTATCCATTCCAACACTGGGTAAGCAGTCTAACAACACATGCACATGCAAATTCTCGCAACACATGCAAATACACAAGCATGCTGCATTTAGCACAGACCACAATGGAAATGTTGGGGACCCCAAAAATGTGACAAACCCGGCTGCTTCCTGTTTAGCGTCAACAGTGTTGTCGGAGATTTAAGAAGTGTGTTTATTGCTCACACAGTCCAATACATACTAAGTTAAAAGTATACTATACAGCTTAAAGTAACATTTACAACCTCAACTAGGCTAATTATGCAGTTAGAGTAATTAGGCAAGTTATTGTATAACGATGGTTTGTTCTGTAGACAATCGAAAAAATATATAGCTTAAAGGGGCTAATAATTTTGACGTTAAAATGGACTGCCTTTATACTAGCTGAAATAAAACAAATAAGACTTTCTCCAGAAGAATAAATATTTTCAGACATACTTTGAAAAAGTCCTTGCTCTGTTTAACATCATCTGTGAAATATTTAAAAAAAAAAAATTTAAAGGAGGGTGAATAATTCTGATTTCAAATGTATTTCTATATAACACAAGTACAAAATAATTGTTTTCATGAACAATCACTTTGAGTCAATTACAAAAACAAACCGAGAAGTGCACGAGGTGGAGAAAAGAGTTAACGTGCGGGTGCAGTATATCAATGTCTAGTTGTGTGGAGTGTCAGCAAATGTGATGAAGATGCGGAGTGTGTGATTTACTCTGTGGTTGCCACATAATGAATAGCACATGCACCGTGAGGTCAGAAAACATGACAGACAGCCTCTTTTAGCATCACACTCTAACATTGCTAGACATTTACATTTTTAAAAAGAAGCACATTAATTGGATTTGTAGTTAAATCTCTGTAAAATTGTATTTAAATTGTTGTTAAAACTATGTGCAGTTGAAGGCAAAACTGTTAGCACTCCGGTAAACCTTATATTAATTTGTAATATTTCCAAAGTGACATTTAACAGAACAAGGAATTTTTTAATTGTATTTCCTGTAATGTTTTTTCTTATGGACAAAATATTATTTTAGTTTGGACTGTTGTCCAATGAATTGACTGTTTAAGTTAGGCCCTTAAAATGCACTTTAAGTTGAATACTACTAATACTGTGCCCTTGGTTTCTTAAGTAGGACTACAATTTGAAAAAAAAAAACATTTGTAATAAAACATTTGTAATGATGCATTTTCCAGCAGTCTAAAATCTAAATAATTCAACTCTAAATATATAACATATTACTTCCTACAACAGTTGAAATTATAATCAACTGTTTATAATTAGGATAGCAGTAGGATATACAACCCTAAATCAGAAAAAGTTAGGACAGAATACAAAACGCAAACAAAAAAAGTAGTGATTTGCAAATTTACTTTGACTTGTATTTCATTGCAGACAATATGAACACAAACTATTTCATTCGTCATTTCATATACTTAATTTCATTTGTAAATATACATCTCCTCCTGTCATTTAGACCCCCAACACATAAAAAAAAAAAGTTGGGACAGGAGGAATTTAGGGCTGGTAATCAGATCAATTGGTTAAATAATGATGTGATTTAAAACAGCTAATGTCATTGGGGGTTTTAATTTGTATATTTGAACTTCAAAAGTGCTTAATGTAATTAAAAGATTCAAGAAATCTTGAGGAATTTTAGTGCATAAAGGACAAGTGCGCTAACCTAAGCTAAACTACCGTGATCTTTGATCCCTCAGATGGCGCTGCAACAAGAATCATTATTCATTTATAAGCGATTTCATAACATTTGCTACTTCGGCAAACCTTTGTCAAGTACCACAAAATGCAGTTTCATCCAGAAACGCCAGTTAAGACTACTGTCCCACAGGAAGCCCTATGTTAACAGTGTCCAGAAGCGCTGTAAAGTTTTTTTTTGGGAAAAGTCCTGACAGTGGAGAAAGAGGATACAGGTATTTGATTGGTCTGCCTGCAGTCCTGACCTGTCTCCATAAGAGAATGTGTGTTGTATTTTGAAGCACAAAATGTGACAACAAAGACTTGCAGGAAGAATGGGACAAAATTACACCTAAAACACTTCATCACTTAGTGACTTCAGTCCCTAGGCATGTTTTAAATGTTGCGAAAATAAATGGAAGCATTACAAAGTGGTAAATGCTTTACTGTTTTTATTTTGAAAGAAAAAAATAATAATCACGAGAAACACATTAAATTATGATTGTTGTATTGGCAGCAATAAAATACAAGTCAAAGTAAATTTAGATATCACTTCTTGCGTTTGATGTTTTTACTTGGGAAATGGGTGCAGCTTATTGAAATCCCTCTGAAAGTCTTCAGATAAGTATCACAGGAAAATATCCATTGAGAACCCCTGCTGTGCAGCATAGAAAGGGCTTAAAATGAGGTATTGTTTGAGCTAAACAAAACAATAAACTCCGCTTTAAACACCCCGTGATATCAAAATTATCCATATCTGTACACACCGAGAATATTCTCATGCTAGCATACTCCAAAATTAAATAATAGCAGGTATACCTGCAGATTAGATTTCCATTTGCATTGATTTTAATACATGACTAATGTTGTTCTCATAGGTGTCGACTACTAAAGTGCTCTCCAAAAATAAACTCAAACTCCCTTTTAATTATAAAATACCACCTCTGACTAATGATAGCAAACAGCATTATGTTCAAGTATCACCACATCTGATTCAAAAATTTAAAAGTTAAAAATTTTTCAGACACCTTTTGATGTATTTGCATAGTGGTTGCAGGACACTATAGTTTATTTATAGCAAAATAAAGTCAACTTTGACATTATATTAAAAATATATATTCATCCAGTGGACTAAAAGCTACCAGAAGTGAAGAATCTGAAAAGTTCCGCTTTGATGAATTCTGTTTTAGAGCAAAGACACAGGTTGACATTGAGGAGAAAAGCGAACAAATATTGATAATAATATTATAAATATTGATTTGTAAGTGATAATGTTGTTAATAAATGTTAATATGTAAATATTTTTATACTAACAGTTGTTTCAATTATTTTTGGTTGACTGCAATTATAAGTGTTATTCTAGAATATTGAAAAATATTTTTGAATAATAACAAAACCTTAACTTAAATATTGTGTATTTAGAGTATTTAGAGACAATTAGTTTTGAAATTATTAACTTATAGACTATACCACTATACCTATTTCTGACCGTCTCTGTCTCCAGAATCTTACATTCAGCTTATATTATGATGAAATAATTAGGTACAATTTTCATATTTTTTGTGTTTACTAAGTTAAATAAACATTGAGATGAAACATCTATTTTCTGTATTATTTGCAATTTTAGTAACAAAAACAATAATTTTGTGTCTTATTTACAATCTTGTCAACTGTTACAGGTCGTAAAAAGCACTGATAAAAAAAAGCGGGAAATGCTACACTACCTGACAAAAGTCTTGTTGCCAAAGCAAGTTTTAGGAATAAGAAATAATAACTTGACGTCTAGTTGATTATTTGGTATCAAAAGTGGCTTATATGAAAGGTAACGGCCTCTAGATTATGCTTAATTATTAATTAAGCTTTGATTTTCAATTATCTAATTAGGAAAGTAAGGTCTGACTTTCCTTAGACAAATGTCTTGTCACTTAACAGAAATAATGTACAGTATAGAATATAAAGTCATGGTGCAGTGGAAAAAGAATGAATATTGTGACTCCCATGAGCTTGGAAGACTGCATCAATACATCTCTGCAATGAATCAAATAACCTATTAATAAAGTCACCTGGAATGGCAAAGAAAGTGTTCTTGTTCAACATTCTTTGGATTCATCTTCAATGCCTCCTCCTTCATTTTACTCAAGACATGCTCAATAATTTTCATGTCTGTTGACTGGGCTGACCAATTCTGGAGCACCTTGACCATTTTTGCTTACAGGAACTTTGATGTGGAGGCTGAAGTATAAGAATAAGTGCTATCTTGGTGATACATTTTCCTCTCTCATGGTTTGTAATGTAATGACCAGCACACATGTCTTGATACCTCAGGCTGTTGATGTTGCCATCCACTTTGCAGATCTCTCACACACCGCCATACTGAATGTAAACCCAAACCATGATTTTTCCTTCACCAAACTTGACTGATTTCTATGAAAATCCATGTGGGTTCCAATAGGTCTTCTGCAGTATTTGTGATAATTAAGATGCAGTTCAACAGATGATTCATCAGAAAAATCTGTCTTCTTCTACCTATTTTTTGCTCTTAGAACTGGGATCGCCAACAAGACTTTTGTTGGGTAGTGTCGAAGGCAATAAGGCATGTCATTATTCTTCGCTCATTATTAAATGTTTGAAATACTCCAATATTATACTAACAGGTTAACATTGTAACTATGATATTTCAGTTAATTTCTCGTTCACTTTTTAATAAAAATAATACGATGAAAATACATAGAATTGTGTTTTAGACGTGCCATGTGGTATCATGTCATGTAGTATCTGGTTTGAAAACTAGCATCTTGAGCTAAAGCACAAAATAGCAAAAAAAGCTGATTCGGTTAGTGGTTTAAACATTATGTTACACAACAACATACACTGTACCCTTCCATCTAAGAACTTGTCCTTTTTAATCCCATTTTCAAAAAAGTTGCGAATAAACTAGTGAATTATTATGTGAGAAATGTGTAAAGTGTCTGAGGAGTTTTTGAGAGTTTGACTGCATGTGACGATTAGATAATCTTACCGTTGTGTTCAGTGAGTAAGAAACCCACAGGGGCATCAGGATGTCTCGGCTGTATCCGCTGATGTAGGAGCTGTGGTGGAGAATACAGTAATCAGACTGATCCTGGAGAACCCGCGGGATCCCAAACGGCAGATGAACAGGCTTCACATTAGAGTCTATAGAAGGATTCAAACAGAAAAGGTTTTATTATACAATGTTTGCACTGAAGATGATTTGTGTGGATATGTACTATTCGTGAAAAATATACTGACCTGAATTTGAGTTGATGAGACGCTGGTTCAGACGGTTCACCTGAGAGGGGAAAAAATAAATAAATAAATAAATAAGTAAATTTATATATATATATATATATATATATATATATATATATATATATATATATATATATATATATATAAATCAAACAATTTCTTCCCCCTGGATTTACGATTTATATCTTTTAATTAAAATAAGAGTAAAGTGTAATTTTGGATTCATACTGTAAACAGAATATCTTCCTAGAATATATTCCAAATTGAAAATTAAAATGTCACCAAATAAATGCTTTTATTAATTTTTTGACATATATGATTCTATTTCACAAGATTTAAGAAAAAAAAAATCGCCACCTTGGAATTATAAGGTTTTATCTGAAATTTTTGTCAAAATTCAGTAATTGACATATTCTTATTAAATGACAACTTATTTACATTTTTACATTTTAAGACTTTTTATAAAAAAATAAAAATAAAAAATAAAAATGTTACACACATACTGGAATGCAAGAACTTTGAAACTGATTCAGAAAGCAGATTGAACCTTATAATTCCAAAGTGACAAAATATTCAGTGAAATAACCTGGTTTTTCAATCACAAAAAAAAAAAAAAGAAAAGATTTGTTATTCTAAACTTTTGTTCCTTTCTGGGGAAAAAACTAGAAATATTTTTATTTAGTAGATTTGTTTTTATAATTTGGCAGAACATACATTGAATGCAGGTAAAAAAAAAAGTCTGCTTTGTTTTTTTTTGTTGTTTTTTTTAATAATTTTGAACAAAATTAAAACATAAGTGTAAAATAATGTTTTGACATTTAGAAAAGCAATAAAAGTATAATTTTTTGTCACGATCTAGCCAGAGAGGCCAGTGGGCAAATTTGGCCAGGATGCCAGGGTTAAACCCCTCTTTTTCGTAGCATCTTGGGATTTTTAGGGTGCTTTCACACTTGGAGCGACTCTGGTTTTATGAAGTAAAATGTACATAAAGTATTCAGTATATAAAGAAAGGTGTGACCATTTTAAATCTTTTAAACATTAACAAACAAATAGGTAAACCCAATAAACCTCACAGCAATAAGGTCACTGGTTCGAGTGCCGGCTGGGCCAGTTAAGTCCGTGTTCGCGAGGAATTCTTCCAGGTGCTCTGTTTTCCCCCAGTCCAAAGACGTGCGCTATAATTGAATTGAATAAACTAAACTGGCAGAAGTGTATAAATGAATGTATAGGTGTTTTCCAGTACTGACTTTAAGCTGGAAGGTAATCCGCTGTGTAAAACACATGCTGGAATAGTTCATTCCACTGTGGCAACTCCTCATAAATAAGGGACTAAGCCAGAGAAAAAAGAATGAATGAATAATAAATAATACAGATATACATTTGACCGCCCCTATATTGGTTCATACTATATCTAATGCATAATCGCGCCAATCACATCCAACAGTCTGAAACTAGTAGATCAGCACTGACAGACAACGTTAGTGCTTACACAAGACACTTTTCTTGTAAAATAAGTGTTTGTATCTACACAGACTTAAAGTAAAGTACAATTAGACAATTACTTTGTATAGTTTGAGCTACAGTAACCTCTGAAATAACTAATCGGATGTTACTGTTGATCGGAATACACTAATTATCCCTCTAAACACACAAAAAAACTTAACCTAGTTTAATTATATATTAAAAGTAATTTAAATAAATACATAAAATTGATTAACTAAAGCATGCATTACACAAAATAATATTACAGAAAAGAAAAAGACTTCACCTCCTTATTGTCAATGTATAATTTACACCTTGGTTAATTTGCATTTTGTAGAAGTTCTGTGATCCTTAAATAGAGTATTTCACTATTTAATCAAATGACTCTTATTCAAAATATGACTTTTTCAAAACTTTTTTTGTACACAACCTATTTTTAAACAATGTTGTTTCTACTAAATCATGGGAAATGGTTGCGCACGAGTGGCTTGACTAACTTCCCTTAGAAAAACTGGAAAGCTATGTGATTGTGTCATACCACAGGAAAAATAAAGAAATCCAGACAACACCACAAAACCAGAAATGAATGTGTGTTGTAGATCAGCACAGAGAAACAAAAACAACACACATAACTCTAAATCCTGAGCGCTACAACACGAAAACTGTGACTGCAACAACCTCGACCATGACAACCTAAAACTAGAAAAAGATGTTTAAATGCAAATGCTAAGATGCTAAGTGCACCACTTGTTGTTTTTAAAGAATTGTAACATGGAAAATATAATTGGTTTTCCAATTCCATGCTTTTCATACAGTTTTGGTGGCAGGACAACTGAATTTAATTTGAACAGTGACATGCTTCACCATGTTTTAGGTTTAAAATCCTTTAGTGAGAAACACAAAACAAGCAAACTCCTCAAGAGTAAGGAGGAAACCTTGGGTGGAACCGAAAGGAAACTCAGGGTGTTTTTAAGATTGAGTCATCTAATAACAGCTAGATCAAAGACACAATTACAGCATAAAACAAGGCAGATGCTCAACTGTTCATATGTTTAGCCCCCAGAAAAGTGTGCTTAGAAGATCACATAAGCTCAAGGATTAAATCTCTAAATAATATCAATACATCATGACATAAATAAGGAACTAGGGAAACTTAGGGTCAGTGCCACTTCTGGCAATTACAAATTACAAAAGATTTTTATAATTCTAATGTAAAAAATCATATACTTGATGGGAGTATCTGAGGGACAATAAAAGGTTCAGTCGATTCTACCATAAAGATACCATGTGTGACACAAAAATGAAGCTTATGCGATTAAAATAACTGTTTAATTTAGTGCACTTATTGTGTACTTAAAGTAATGCAAACCTGTAAGTAAATATAAAATTTCAGTAAATACATATGAAACTACACTTTTGACCTTACAAAAATAATGAACTAACACTGTAACCAACCCATAAACCCAGCCCGGGCTCATTGGAAATATACCCCTCAGACTACATTTTTGTAAAACGTAAAATTTATTGCTCTGGGCACGTTTCATCGAATGCTTCAGATTTCAAATCTACTAGAGGGGACTGTCTACATATTGGTTAGCTCATTATGACTTTGTATAGTGTTGTACAGCACTTGATACGGTGTGCTCGGGTTCAAGTTGGGCAACAAACCCTGTCTTCTTGTGAAAGTTTATCTAAAACAAAACAAACAATACCCTGAGTAACGTCATATACTGTATGTTATACATTGTAGAAAAAACATTAGTGAAATATGTTACTCAGGGTATGTTTTGTTTTACATTTCAGATACAAGTTCACAAGGTGGGGTTTGTCCCAAGTCAAACGTGAGTGCTTCGTATCAAGTACAACCCTGTGCAAAGTAAACTACCAATTACAATTGTATTCGATTACAAATCATAGACATTATTAAGTTGTTTTGTGCCTTTCAATTGGTGTTATGCAAATAACTGCACAAAAATAATCGTCAATGTTAAGTCCCTGTAAATTTTTACTTGTTTGAAAAGGAACAAACATTGTTGCCATCATACTGCATTGTATACCGTAAAAGTGCAGTAAAATATATGTTGAGTAAGTTAGTTTTTATGGTTTTACAATAATTGAGACAGAAGCACATATTTCCAATGATCCGGTATTGGATAAACCTACCTATACCACAAAGACTAACCTGTCCTGAACATTCTAAATAATTAATTAATAATTCCTTACATTTATAAAGCCCTGTTCTGAACAATCAAAGTGCTTTACACATTTTTGGGGGGAATCTCCCCATTCATCACCAGAGTGCAGCATCCACCTGGATGACACGGCGGCAGCCATATTGTGCCAGACCACACACCGCACACCAGCTCATTGCTGGAGAGGAGATAAAGTGATGAAGCCAATTATAATACGGGGATGGTTAGGAGGTCATGAAGTAGAGATGCCAGTGGGCAAATTTGGACAGGATAAGGTTAAACTACACTTTTTCATCCTGGGATTTTAACAACCGCAGAGAGTCAGGACCTTGGTTTGGTCTTATCTGAAAGACGACGCTCACTGAGCAATTTAGAGTTCCATCAATATACTGGGGCATTAGGAACCACACAGACCGCAGGTTGAGCACCCCCCACTGGTCTTACTAACACCACTTCAATCATCAAGCATAAAACCTTAACACACTAAAAAACTTGTCCCTAACTATTATCAACCCTTAAACCACAACATCCCATTACCACCTTACTGAACCATAATAGACCCTTCAGCCAACCCATAACATTTAGCTAGTTAGTCCCTTAGCTAGTCCATAACTTTAACCAACACTAAAATCTAAGCACAGAGGCTGAAAAACACAGTGCCATGTTTACAGAAACTCCACCTATGGCACATTGGATGCACACATTCTACACAAGGATAATGTTATTAATTAGAAAACTGCATATGGGACTCTGTGGTGCTTCAGGAATTTGAAAAGCATCCAGAGTCTTGGCTGAATCTATGAATCTAACACTAACTACCCAATCATCCCAAGACCCCCATGCACAGAACAGCATAAGCTCTCTTTCATGTTTTTTAAAAACATGATTAAATGTCCTATGCTGCAACAACGTTTTTTATGTGTTTAAGGGGTTAAGGATTTTCAGGGCTATATTGAACGTTCTGGGCTAATGTGCTATTTTCTAGCAGTTATAGCTAAACGGTTAGAGTTTGTTAGGTTGCAGGATCGAATCCCAGTGTCAGCAATAATTGAAGATGAGGGATCTTCATTACTCAGCTGAGCTGCACCAGAGCAAGGCACCTAACCTCTAACTGCTTACTAAGCACTGGAAGCAATAGCTGCCCACTGCTCTGGTTGTGTGATCACTGTGTATTTGTGTACGCATGTGTTTGTCTCATTTCTCACTCATATCTGTGCATTTGAATGGATCAAAACCAGAGGCCCAATTAATAAGTAATTAGTAATTAATTAGTAATCATACTTGACAATACTCATTTCATATCTCTTCATTTAGAGTGGATTAAATTATTGGTGGAGACATTTTAATAATCGTTGGATATTGTTGTGGACATGTCATCTCCTTCCATGCTAACTCTATGCCTTGTGTCAATGGTCCGTGTGTCCCTGTTAGCATCCAAGTAATTTGATTTAGTGTTATAGCTTGTATAGTTTGATGGGATACAAGAATTTGAGGTCAACAGTATAGAAATGAAATGCATTATGTACTGTGCTACAATAAGTATGAACAATCATAAGAGATTGTGGTTTAGCATTGCTTCATGTAAAAACAGATGTGGATGAACATAATGAATGCGTGATGGAGGTGTTTGACTCTGACCTCGGCCTCGGTGAGGGAGTCACAGGTGCACCCACGAGGGTCTCTCAAGCTGCTGCTGACAGCACTGCATGTAGATGGAGCCGAACGCTCTGCTGGAAACACCGGCTGATATCGCGGCTTTTTCAGTATGTGGTTCAAACTGCCATGGGTGCCATTATTGGCAGCAGGAGAAATCCCCAGCAAATCTAAAGAGAGATAAACACAATTACTTTGATTTCATTTAGCAGAGTTTTGGCCCTCAAAGATTCTTTAGATAATCATTCTTGTCATTTGCAAACAAAGTATGAACAGTTTTTTGAATTTCCAAGGGACAGAATCATCCATATCTGTGAATACAAATCAAGATACACGCGTACAGTAAGTGACGGAAAAAAACTGTTTTAACTTGGGTAGGGTAGAAAAATAACAAATAGCCCAGAGAACTGGTGGAAGGAACACGGGAATGACAAGGCTCCAGGTAAGTAAAGGTATGGTAGACAAGAAGACACCTGAGTGCTAACAAAATTCTATTCCTTTAGAGGGCTGATGAGGTGACTTGAAGGATTGAAAACAGGTGACCAAACATCAGGGTCCAGAAGATTAACTTTCGTAAAGAATAGTACAGGGCAAGGGTTCTCAACTACATTCCTGGTGCCCATCTGGACTGCACATTTTGCATGTCTACTTTGTCTTACACAACCATTTTCATCCCTGCTAATGAACTGATGAGAATCAGGTGTGTTTGACCAAAGAGGCATGCAAAACGCAGGCTTCGTCTGAAATCGCCTAATACTCGAGTAGGTACTACATTTGAGTTTAAATTTACTACATGACCATAAAAAATTTTGTTCTATATAATATGAATTTGAGTAGTGTGAATGGAATTTGGATGTACAACATCTGCAATTTATCATTTTCATGTAGCTTACCTAAATCGTTTGCATCACTTCATTCCCAATCGTGAATACTATCCCATGGCATCATGGGATAGCATAGCATCCATTGTATGTGAACTTTAGAATCTTGCCAGAAGCAGTAGATCATTGTGGTACTTCTCGCAAACTGTTTTTCAAATACAATGGTCCCTCGCTATAATGAGGATCACGTTTCGCAGCCTTGCAGTTTCGCAGGTTGTTATAAATACAGAAAACTTGCATGTAATGGGGCACACACACCAATAGATAGATCCAAATCTATTGTTTGTTTAATTTTTTAAATGTATGTCAGTGCTTTAAATGGGCCAGAAGGTTTAACCTGGTGCTCTAAAACCAATTTGCTGCATCTGACGCTATTGCCATCTTTAATATAATGTAATTACCCCAGGGGTCGCAATCCGATAGACTATAGTAACTATAGTACTACTCTAGTAACCATAAAGTATATAGTAACTAATAAACAGCTATTTTTTCTCTTCAATAGGTCATGAATATAATATTATTATTCTTATGGTTTAATAAAAAAAATAGATTTTTGGAAATCACCAGGTGACCTCCCTTCTGACCTCCACTTTGAGAACCACTGGTGTAATGAATTTATCAGAAAAAGTTTGACAAAGATTTTTATATCGGCATATAATCAGCAGCCCATTAGCCACGCTTCCACTGTCATGCCTAAAGCAAGTGAGCCAGTGCGAGCCAGGGCTAGTCTGGGCCTGATCGGGATAAAGCAGGGCTTCCTCGGGGCCAGCGGCCGGCCTTTTTTAGCCTGCCAAATACTTTGGGTTAAAACGAGCCAGCTGAGATTTCGTGGGGGTGGGGGAGTGAAACAAAGACAAAGTTCGAAGTCTGGCGAAGTTTGAAGTTTGGTAAACATGGTGTGCCACCATTACACTAGTTTTCGGATCATGCACAAGTAGGCTATATATGCACCAAAAATAAATAAATATTGCTCCCCACAATGCCAACGAAATGTTCTGCACCATCAAAGGCACCTGTGGTAGCACCCAAAAAGCAGAGAAAGATGCTAACCATCTCACGAAAAGTTTAACTTCTGAACATGCTAATAGAAGGTAGATGTTATGCAGCTGTAGGGCGCCATTATGGAATAAATAAATAAAGATCAACTTGTTTAGTTCTTCGGTTCAGTTCTACAATAGTGGACTTATTTTTTTTTACTAAAATTAGACCTTTGAGATTGTTTAAACAAGAGAGAAAAGTGTAAAATTAATCAATGTTTAAGAAAATAAGGTGTAGTGAGGGGTTGTACAGCCTTATAAAGTTGACAACTTTGCAGATTTTGTGGGTTATTTTTAGATAGTAATTGTGGAAAGGTGAGCGTGAACGAACACCCAATAAGGGGGGAGAGCATGCTCGGAGCCCGGCGGCTAATCAGCAGGTGAATCAGAAATTATAAATAACACCTGTCTTTCTAGTGATTGAGCCGGAGATTGAGCCACAGGACCGCAAGCTAATCCGCAGTCTGCGGATCCGGGAGATCCAGCCCGCTCCGACATCTGCCGCCCACCTTCCCATGGACGACCTGAAAGTGTTCTTGGACCTCTATGAGGGGTTAGCAGAGGTGTATGGCTGGCCACGGGCCGAGTGGCCGGTAAGAGTCATCCCGCTGCTCTCGGGCAAAGCCTAGATCGCCGCACAGCAGCTACCGGCTCAGAATCTCCCAGAATACCGGCCCTTTGTGTTCACTCAGCAGCTCTGTGATGCCTGCCGCAGATGGTTAGTGCAGGATGGCCAGACCAACGCCCAGCGAGTGGATGCTGTGGTGCTGGAGCAATTCATCACCCACCTCCCCTCCCAAACATCGGAGTGGGTCAAGTGCCACTGGCCAGACGGTCTGGCTAGCGGAGGATCACTTGTTGGGGAGGTCAAGAGTGTGCGAATTAACCTCTCTCTCTTCTCCCCCTCTTTCTCTCTCTCTCTCTCCCCCATTCTGTTCCCAGGCCCAGAGCACAGAGGCCGCCCACGCCAGCACCCAGACGGTGGTGCAATGGGGCGGATCGCCAGCAGGTTCTGATGGAAGGGGGCACCTATCAGGACAGAGGGGCGGAGTTTCCACCCCTGGCTGCTTTTCAGACAGCACCAGGGCTTTCTCTGGTTCAATTGGTTGGTCTTGCTGGCCCCAGGGGTATAGTGAGAAGGGCTCTGCTCTGTAAAGGAGTTGAGTGCACTGATTCGCGTCCCCGCCACGCCAATCATCGCCTTTAGTCGCGACGGGCTATACCAGATACCTGCGAGTATGAAAGGGGGTACATATACAGCTTTGGTGGATTTGGGGTGTAACCAAACCTCCATCCACCAAAGCCTGCCTAAGGCTAAGGGTAAGGTGTGCACGGGGATGTAATTCCCTACCCGCTAACGGTGATAGATATTCAATTCCTGGGTAAAAAACATAGTGTAGAGGTAGCAGTTACCCCCAATTTCAAACATCTGTTAATTCAGGGAATCAATTGGCCTACATTTAATAGATTATTAGGGGTCTTATGTGCGGGTGTTTCTTCAGAAAAGAAATCGCCAAAGAGGGGCGGGTTGCTCAGCTGGGGGAATCCCAAGCAGCGACATCACGCGCTGACTCAGGGGAAGGGAGGGCATTTCCAGGTGTAAAGTCTTGTGATGACACGTTCAGACATGCACTGGAAAGAGTGCAGGTCATTGATGGGCAAATGCTCCAGCCTGACCAGCCACTCTCCTATCCGTATTTTATTCGTAATGTCAGCTGATGAATCCACTGGCCACCCCAAAAGTGCCATTGCGCCATCTACCAATTATGGAAATCCCCTTCAAGAGAATTGGTATGGATCTCATCGTACCATTAGAGCTATTCGCACATGGGCACCAGTTTGCATTAGTCCTAGTGGATTATGCAAACCGCATCCCGGAAGCATCAGTGCTGCGTAACATCTCAGCAAAGAGTGTTGCTTAAGCTCTGTTTCGTATAATCTCCCGAGTGGGAATCCCCAAGGAGATTCTCACTGATCAAGGCACCGCGTTTATGTCACGCACCATGCGCAAGCTTTATAGATTGTTGGGTGTTAAATCTATTCGCACCAGCGTCTATCACCCACAAACAGACAGGCTGGTGGAAAGGTTTAATCGCATGCTTAAATCAATGATCTGTAAATTCGTTCACGAGGATGCGAAAAATTGGCATAAGTGGTTGAAGCCCTTGTTATTTTCTGTGCGGGAGGTTCCCCAAACCTCCACGAGGTTTTCCCCCTTCGAGCTTTTCTACGGCAGACAGCCCAGAGGGGTTTTAAGTGTCGTTAGAGAGGCTAGAAAGGACGTGCCTTCTAATAGTAAAAATGAAATTCAGTATATTCTGGACCTTGGAGCAAAACTCCACACACTGGGACGGCTCTCTACGGAGAATTTGCTTAAGGCCCAGGATGACCAACGCAGGCGATATGACAAGGGCACTAAAATTTTTACAGAGAGATAAAGTCCTTTTACTGCAACCCACTACCAGATCTAAATTACTCGCCAAGTGGCAAGAGCCGTTTGTGGTCATACGATGATTCAGTGATCTTGATTATGAGGTGGTTTGTTCGGACAGGGCTGATTCACGTCAGATCTATCACGTTAATCTGCTGAAGCAGTGGAGAGAGCCGGAGGAAGTGGCGTTGGCTACCCTTGTCACTAACGAGGATGACCTGGGGCCAGAGAGCCCCGGCCGTGAACGGCTGAGCGATCTGATCTCCGGGGGTGATCATCGCTCAGCGAGCCAGCTCCTCGACAATGGGCACCTCCAACGTAAATACTCTGATGTGTTTTCACCCCTGCCCGGTCGTACTAACCTGATTCAGCACCATATTGAGACCAAACCAGGCTTGGTTGTTAGAACCCGGCTGTATCGCCTACCTGAACACAAGTAAAAAATGATTCAGGAAGAATTAAGTAATTTGTTAAAAATCGGAGTAGTAGAAGAATACTACAGCAACTGGGCCAGCCCGATTGTCTTGGTACCCAAGACTGTTGGCTTGGTCTGGTTCTGTGTGGATTATCACAAGGTAAATGCTGTGTCGAATTTCGACGCCTATGCAATGCCACGTATTGACGAGTTGCTCGACCATTTAGGTGTTGCTTGGTATTACTCGACACTGGATTTAACAAAGGTATATTGGCAGATCACCTTAACTCCAATATCTGGAATAAAACAGCCTTTAATACGCCGTTTGGATTACACCAATTTGTGACACTTCCGTTCAGGCTGTTCGAGGCACCGGCGATGTTTCAGCGTCTGATGGATAAAATAC